AATCAGCATTAAAAACAGATATTTTATTGTTAATTTTCTTATTGTTGATTTTCTTATGATTTTATTAATCCAAAAAAATATATTATTTAAATAATATGTTTGTATATAATATTAAAATAAGTAAATTTTTAAGCTAAATTATAACTGCTATTTGTGAAATAAACAATATTGTTCAATATTTTAATTCTATCACATATGTATATTAGATATTATAAAAATATACACGGTACAGTAAGAATTTCATAATATATTTTAAAGTTCTACTTTAAATTTTCTAAGGAAATAATAAAATATTATCGACAGACATATAAAATAATAAATTTAATTTCAAAGAAGTTTTCAGAAATTTAGATAATAATTCACAAAGTTAAGGAACCATAATTGTTTATTTTTTAAATTCATGATTTCTCTTGTGTGTTACACTTTTCACATAAAATAATCTATCTGTAGCTTCAATAACAACATTCATTTTCTCTGCATAATAAACTATCTTTTATAAGGCATTGAAATTACAAACAACACTATCTTATTTCAAATAAAGAGGAAAATGTGAAAAACAATAATATTTCTCTGCGATAAAAGAAATAAATGAAAATCTTAAGTTAATTATATTTTACAGTAACACGTTTTAATAAGTAAATTAAAATTTAACATTTGCAGAATTTTGACTTTGATAAATGTTCAAGATAGAGATGAAACAAATTTTTTCATGTATAAATGTGATTGTTTACGGCATGGAAAAGCTACACAATATTTACAATCATTATCTTAATAGTTATAGAATTTATATTTTTATAAAGTTTACACCAGTGTCGTTTTACATCAAAACTGACAAGATTAAATCAAGATTAAATTGAAAATAAATTGAAAATCATTAAAATGTAAAACGGTCGTTAAAGTGCCGATCGGAATAGAACTAGTAATTCATTACGCTAATCGGATTTTCAGGGATCTTCTTAGTAAATTCCTATTCAATTTCATTCATCTGTTGGTCCGTAATTACTTTATTATATTTTACGTAAGTATTTTGCTGATACATAACGATTGCTTCGAACGTGACGTAGTTTTCTATTTAATATAATTGCTGGTACGTTATTCCAGCAGTATTAATAAATTAATAATAATATCGCTCTTATGTAGCATTAAAATTCTTAAAATAATATTAATAGGAATAATATAGGAGCGTTGTGTGAAATATTTTCCGAGAAAAATGTCTTTCACATAATACACACCGTATATTCCGATTCCGCAGTTGGAAAGTATAGAATATATAGTTTTGTTTAAAAAAAAATCTGCTGATTAAAATTTTTGCGTAAAATCTTCACCATGTCCAAATTGTAAATTTTTAATACTGTCCGTTATTTCAACTAGATTTAACTAATTTAAAATGTAACAATTATTAAAAAACGATTTTTTTTTTTTTTTAATATTAAAGTAACACAACACGCACGTATCCCTCCACGCGAGACGTATCTCGAGACGTTATTAACGGCACTGTTACTGTCATTATCATTACGATTACTATCCGTAAACGTTGGTGATGCTGCACACGAACGCGAAGATAGAGGCGAGTAATGAAAGGATTAAGTCGCGGTATAAAGCGCTTTATCCGGACAGAATCATTCGCTTTGTGTCACGGCCAGAAACAGTGAGGCTGCATTTAACAGGAGCTACTATTGCTGTTGGCTGCTTTAGTCTCTACCGACTAAAACATATTCACGCGGATGGGATCGTTTCGGGAATTACGTATTTTACGTGATGAGTATGCACGCGTATGACGTCGCGTTTGTAATCACCCGCTCGTAATCACCAGAGTTTGTGTACGATATACGCGGCTGTCGCCCGCTATTATTTCCACGTATATATCGTGATTAATAACAACGAGCAGCGAGCGAGGGATCAAAAATAAACCGCGGATCGCTCGAGAATTTGGAACTTGGCTCCGCTTTTCTATTGTGAACCGTGTCTTATTGCCGCTTGATTCTACCGCGCGATAATTAAGAAACACGTATAGTTAATAATAATACTCCCAAAAGTTTATGTTATCTGTCTGATGTAAGGACATATAAATTAATCCTCACGGCTGTACA